CAATGAACTTGTACACAAGTGTGTGCGCAGTGACATGTACGGAGACATGCACACTCACATGTGCACATGCACTCATGTGCATGCATGCACAGGTACAGAGTAGCTCAGGCCTGCCCTCTGGGACCACCTTCTCCCTCACCCAGCCTCAGGCAAGGTTCATGGACGACCCCTCAGGCCTGAGGCCCACTGCTCTCCCTCAGTGAAAACCCCCACTCTCCTCCAGGACCTGACATATCGTAGGAGGCTGAGGCCTCCACCACCCCCACAGGAACCCAGAAAGGGTCTGACAGAGTAGCCCCCATTCCTCTCCCAATACATGGGGGGTTCTCTCATGGTGCAGGCAGGCCTGACTTGTGTTTTGGGTGTCAGTATTAACTGGTTCTCTGGGGAAAGCTTTTATGCCACACTCAGCAATTCCTGTGGTGGCAATGCTGCCCCCGCCAACACACCTGTGAGATGTGGCAGGGGACTCTTGAGACCAGCTCTAGCTCAGCATGGTCAGACCCTATCCTAGGGGTGAGGGAGGGTGCTCTGCCTTGGGGGGGGGGGCTTATGCATGTCAACTCAGGGTCACAGAGACCAGACAAGAGAAGAAGCCTCACATCTGAGTACATGGGAGGGGACAGTGCCCACAGGAGGGGAGAGTGGAAACTGCACGGTCCCCTCAGGTGTGCCAGGCTGATAGCAGGGGCTTGGCTGCGATTTGAGAAGTGCCCTGCCCTGCTGCCACACCCACCCAGACCTCAGTCCAGGCCACCAGAAGACAAGTCCCAGGAGGGGCTCCAACAACACACCTGACCACCAGGACAGCCAAGGGTGTCTCACACAGGGTTCCAAGGGTCCCAGCGACCCAAGATATACATGCCACTTGGGGCCTTGGGGGTCGGACCCTGAGGGGAAGTGAGAACCACATGCCTCATGGGGGAACCTGGGGCAGCAAAGGTCATGGGGAAACTCAGGCATTGGAGGGAAGTGTGGGCTGTGGAGCTGGCAGCGTTGACTGTGACGAGCATGCCATAGAGAATGGGGGGGGGGCGGTGGTTACATGGGAACTCCTCCCAGATTCTGCAACTTCTCTGTAAGCCAGTGTTGTAAAATAAGAATCTCAACTGCAATAGTCCCTGCCTGAGCACTTCGAGCCCCTGCCCCATCTGCCCCCACCCCCAGCACTTGTGTGTCTCTGTGAAAGCTACAAGGTTGGAATAAGGACTGGCTGGTGGCCTATGCTGGGCTGCAGGAGCCGTTGGGGCTGCTGGGTGGTACCACCACCAGGGATCAGCAGGCCTGGAGGTAGGAATGGGTTTTTGGCCTTTCAGGGATCCAGGCCCTGGGGGTTTGCAGGGGCCTTCATCCACAGGGAACCCTACCCACAGCAAAGTATCAGAGCAAGTGTAGGTAAGGGCTGCCTAGGGATCCTGGATGAGGTTTGGGAGGGGGACCCGGGTGCCCCTGAGGGTCAGGGTCTAGGAAGGGGCAGGCCTTGGAGGGTCAGCAAGAGTGTGGAGAGGGAGGGGTGACTGTTGGGCCAGTGTGGGCACAAACAGGCTCCCCATGACAGCTAGTCATCCCCACCAAGAGCCTGGAGGAAGATGCCCAATGGCCTCAGTGGGCGTCAGGATGGCCCATCCTGGGGAGAACCAGCCTGCCACTCCAGTGCAGACCCAGAGGAGTGGTCTCTCCAGGGTGGCAGCTGGGCTTTCCTGCCTTAAGTGCCCCCACACCCAGGTCTGAACAAAGGTCCTGCAGGGCTGGGAGCCAGGGATGGCCCAGTGCCATCCAGCAGTGCAGCAGGCCACAGCCTGGCCAGCAGTTTCCTTCCCATCTCTGGCCAGACTTCCTCCCAGCGCCCAAGGGCCGGGGTGGGTGGAACTTCCTCTGTAGAGGGGGGCATTGCAGGCAGGACCCCAGTACTCTCCATGCAGCAGGGGCCCTGTCCCGGGAGCCTCTGGGGCCTGGAAGGAGGAGTCTCAGGCAGCTTTCCCTCTCCCTGAGGACACAGAGACCCTGCATGCACCTGGCACTGACAGCCCACACCCATAGGTGAGCACCCATGAGTACCTCAATGTAGCTCTGTTCTGTGAGGCTGAGGCCTTAGCAGGAGCCCAGATCCTGCCCCCACCCATACACCTGCTAAGGGGCCCTGGGGGGCCCAGGCCTCAGCAGGCTTGGTGCTGCCTGCCCACCTCCCAACTGGACCTTAGCACTTGTGCCAGGTCTCCCCTCAGCTCTGCAGTAATTCCATGGTGTTCTGTCTTGCCAGGTCCCTCCCTGGGACACTCGATTCCTGTCCTGGAGGTCCCAGTTGTATTTTAACTAGGGCTCCCTGGCCATCCAGGACCCAAACCCCAGGCCTGGGGACTGTCTGCCACAAAGGCACTGCAGCTCCTATGTGCACGACAGCTGCCACCCCACTCCCCAGCAGCCCAAGGAGGGTTTTAGGCCCTCAGATTGGGCCCCAGGGAAGCCGGGCTCTCCATCAAAGCCCTCATCCTCACAAGGCCCACAGGGCCGGCCTCTTCAGTGTCCGGACTCATTCACATTCCCTTCTGGGAAGCTCCTTCTACACTAGGATGGGGAGGTGCCCCTACCATGTGCTCAGCAGATGCAGGGGGGTGAAGGGACACCTGAGCTGGGGGGAGGGTGAGTCCAACTAAGGCCTCAAGGCCCTGTTCCCTCCCAGGGATGCAAGGTGACAGTAGCTGGGCTGTGAGGGACCCCAAAGGGGCAGAGAACATATTGAGGACTCTCTGGGGCCCCTCTCTACTGCAGCTGGGACTGGAAAGTGAGGGGAGTTCCTCCTGAAGGGGTGGGGGTGGGCTGGGGAAGAGTCCCGGTGGCACAGCCTGGACAGCTCCAGTTGCCGGGCCTGTGGATTCTCTGGATCTTCCAAGGCACTGCCCGCTCAGGGTAGGGTGCAAGGCCCACCACCCATCCCTGTAGGGTGCCCATGCTCTGCACACCTCCTACCCCTCTTCCCCAACTGCTCTGGGTGAAGCCACAGCAGCCAGCATGCTGCCACCTTTCTCAGTGGAATGGAGCATGCTCACCTCTTTCTGCACCCCACACCCCGCCATGTCCACCTGCTCCATGCACCAAGGCCCAGCACACCACAGGCCCCAGGCAGATGCGGGAGGTAGGCACCCTGCCCTGTGCAGCAGCCCCAATCACTCCTGGACCAGCCGCTGCCCCTTGCCAAGCTCTCTACCCACTCCTGCTCACCTTCCTTCCCCTGGCACCCAGTCAACTCACTGTGTCTGGGGCACACTTGGGGGCCCTCCTGGGTCTGTTCTGCTCTCTGCTGACCTGTGGAGCCCAGACCTAAAGACTTGTGACCCATGAAGACTAAAGGAAGGAAGTCCCAGGCCGAGCAGAGGCTGGTTGAAGCTAGGTCAGGAGCAATGTTGAGGGCAGAGAAGTGTACCTCTCCTGACTTGACTGCCCTTGTATTGGGTGCAGCTCCCAGATTTCCCCCAGGTTTGAAGAGCCTGAGGCCCCAGCCTCTGGACATGTGGCAGCTGCCTGGCTAGTGTGGGCTGGCCAGTCCTGCACAGCTCAAGGGGCCCTAGCTGTTACGGAGGTGCTGGGCACACACCCCTTCCCTCCCGCTCACCAACTGGCCTAAGCAGCTCCCACAGCTCTGCCTCCCCCCACTCTTGGATCTTGTAATCCCAGAAGACCCTACTGGTCAGGACCTGTTGATGAGCAGTGGGCTTGAGACAGACCCCTGGAATGAGATACCTGGCCAGGTCAAGCACCTGTCATCTTTTGGGGGCAGTCATTTCTGGAGAGGCCAGACCAGCCTGAGACCAAACCCAGAGGCAAGAGTGACACTGCTCAGCCCCATAGGGCACCCTGTACCTGGTCCCCTTGACAACATCCTACCTTTTTCAGGCCAGAAAATGTAAGTCTCCGTGAGCCCTTCCACCTGCTGGCTGGTCAGACACTGGCTTCCAAGGGTATGCACCCGGCAGTCCCGTACCCGACCCAGGGCCACCTCTCACCACCAAGCACAATGGAGGGAGAGGGCCTTCAAGGGCCCCATTGTTCCCCTCAAGGCCCAGGGTCTGAATCCCCGATTGTCCCTGGAGTTGTATGGGGCCAAGAGAAGGAAGGGGCCTCCTCCAGGCTGCACAGTGGGTTGGGAGGCAGTCGGCTTTGCTTCACCTGCCCAGCGCCCCTTTGCCCACTGTCCTGTGCCCAGGCCTAACTCCCGCCAGGCCTCCTCTGTACATCTGGGCATATGGACAACTACTTCTGCCTGGGCTCCCTGCTTCCACTTGAGCCTGTGTCCACTGTCTTGGTCTCACCCCAAGAGCATGGCCTAGGCACAGACCACTGTACCCCAGGGCACCACAGCTGCTCTGGCCTGAGACTAGTGGCAAGGGAGGTGTCTTCTCAGACTCCAGGGAGCCTGGAGCCCCAACAAAGGCCCTCAGATCTCCAGAACTGACCTCACCCAAACCACCTGGCCAGCTGGGCTCAGTGGGCTGTAAGTAAGGCCAAGGGAGCGTATGGCACATGCAGGCCTCCCAGACACCAGGGTCCAGCTCCTGCAGTCTCAGTGCCCCCTTCCAAGTCAACGTCTGTCCCTCAGTGGCTGGGGCAGGATGAGCCCCCAAGGCCTTTTCTAGCCAGCCTCAAGGAGCCTTGAGGAACTAGCTGGAGAGGTATATGTTCCTGGCAGCCCCACCCCACTGCTCCCACCTCAGGGCAGGAAGCAGCCCAGCCTCCAGGGACCCTTCACTCTGAAGACAGCTCCTGTTCATCTCCTAGACATGGAGGTGGGAGGGCATCTCTTCTGGTCTCCGGGCTGTGGAGCCTGGGCACACGGGGAGCCCGGGGAGTCGTGTGCTGTTGGGGAGCAGCCTCATTGGCCTACATCCCAGAGTAGCAGACATGGGGGGACCTGGAGCCCACAGCCCTTCTGGGACTGGTGATTTAGGAGGTGGCCAACAGGAGTGGCAGCGCAGCATGAAGAACACAGGGCCAGGGCAGCAATCCATGGGCTCAAGGCCACTCTCACCAGCAGCTCTTTATTAGGACACCAGCCCAACTCCCACAGGAGAGTGGGACTCATCGGGGGCACCCAGAAATAGGCATGGGGAGCAAGGCGAGAGAGGCAGGCAGAGCCATCTTGCCAGGGACACCCTGGCCACCAGAGTGGGTACAGGGTCCTATCCAGGGAAGACACAGCCGTTGGTATCCTCAAGAGCGGCCAGTCCCTTGGGCCTTCTTGATTTCCTGCAGGAGAGAGGAAGAGTGGTTTGCCCTGAACCCCATCCCCTGTCCCATGCCCTTTCCTGCACAGAGATGCAACCCTGCCCCCTGTCGGAGCCCACCTCTGAGAGTGCTTCCTTCAGGGCCCAGTAGGCCTTGTCCAGGCTGTCGTTGACAATGATCAGGTCAAACAGGCCGGGCTCCTTGCCTGGGGTGGGGACGAAGGATCCCCACAAGGCCAGTGGAAGCTCAGTGACAGTTGGGGAGCTGTAGGTGGCAGCTCCTGCCTCTGCCCTCCCACCTCTGGCAGGTCAGCTGCTATGGGGGAGGGTCAGGGTCACTGGCCAAACCCACACACTCACTGCTTTCCATGTCTGCCCGGGCAGCGGCCAGCCGCTTGGCCAGGCTCTCTTCCGTCTCTGTGTTCCGTTGCCGCAACCTCTGCTCCTGAGGTGCCCAAAGAGGATCAGCCTGCAGGGCAGCCCTGGTGCCTCCTCCACCCCTCCCCTGCCTGGATCCCTGCCCCCACCAGGACTTCCAGCGAGGGTGGCTGCACAAAGATGTAGATGGGCTTCAGGTCAGTCTTCTTTATGTTCCGAACACCCTGGAGGTCCACATCCAGCACACAGATTCGGTTCATGGCCTGTACCACTCGCACAGCTGCTTTGCTAGGGAGGCGGGAAGGGAGGGCAGCACTCAGCTAGGGCTCCCTGGGCTCTAGCACCCCCACCACCTCCACTGCCATCTGTTGGGGTCCTGCATCCCCAGGTCTCCACTCTGGGCCTGGGCGGGAGCCTGCAGGGGCCCACTCTGACTGCAGTATCTGCTACCCCTTTCTGGAAGCACTCCCTCAGCAACCCTTGCATGCTGGGCCCTCTGCTAGGCTGGGGGCAGCAGCGGGGAGGGGAAGGACATGGTCCTGGCTGTCACCACTGGGCTCAGGGCTCCTGGGTACCCACGATCTAAGGGTAACAGCAGCCCCAGCAGCCCCTTCCAGGGCTCACTGTCCTTGCCAGCTGCACCTGGGGTAGAGCATGAGGGTCCCATGCCAGCTCAGGTACAGGCTGCACGGAGCAAGCGTGGGTCCACCTGTGTAATGACACTGCTGTGTGTGTGTGAGGGGTGGGGAGGTGGGCAGCTGTTGCTGACCTGGGACCATTCCAGCCTGCCCTACTAGTTGGAGGGAAGGGGTAGAAAAGTATAGACTGCAGACCTCTGAGACCTAGGCCCTCTGAGTCTTCACTGTACACTGGCCCAGCACATGGCCCCCAATGCCCACAGCAACCTGGCCAGGTGAGCTCAGGTGGGGCCAGGAGGAAGCAGCCTGGAAAACCCAGACTCTTGACCTCTGGAAGGGCTGGGTCCCTCACCCTGACAGACAGTAGAGAGAAGCCCTTGCGTGGGCTGCCCACTCTAGATCCCTGGGGGTTTAGAGGAAGGGAGTGTGGCCCACCTAGTCCCATAAAGGTTCCCCGAAAACTCAGCGTGCTCAATGAAGTCCCCGGCGGCAATGTCCCGCTGCATCACCTCCCTGGACACAAAGTAGTAATCTGTAAAGGGCAGGAGCTGTTGAAGCTGTCCGCAGCCAGGCCATGAGGGCCCAGGCAATCCCACATGGGCAGAACCAGCTTCTATTCTGGGCCTGTCTGCCCATCTGTCAATCCACAAAGCTGTTCCAGCCCTGGGCAGGGAGATGTCTTGAGGAGGGGACAGATACCACCTCTCACACTGTCCTCACTGAAGGGGGCCTGGAGACTGCTGGCTTCAGTGGGGAGGCTAGGGGAGACCTCAATGATCTGCCTCAGGATACTATAAATACCCTAAGGTTACAAAAGATGCTTGTGATATCAGAGAGCCCTAAGTCATGTGCACGGCTCTGCCCCCAGCTGCATGGCCGCACAGTGCAGCACACATGCCAAGGAGCAGAGCCCCACGGCTGCCTGGCTCCCGCCAGCCTCCCACATGGATATGCATTGTCTGCATAAGATCTGATGCCCGTTACCTAACTAGGCCTGCTCACCCACCCACCCTGGAGGACACTTCCAATCTGATGGGGAGACTGAGGCCTCATGCATCACCCTGACAGTTGGGGAGTGGGGGGCAGCTCCAGACTTGCACTGGAGGGCCAGTGCGGGGCCAGCTCACCTTTGCCATTCTCTTCTCCGGGCCTCGGGTCCCTCGTGGTGTCTAGGAACAAGCACCTGTGACCCATCTAGAGCCCACTGGGACCCATCTGGGCCATGCAGAGCCCACACACCCCATCCCCAGGGCCTTCCCGAAGAACCCAGCTTAGCCTGTGGTGGGGTAGGGGGGTCAGCAGTATGGGCATGTCCCATGTGTGAGGGAGGGTTCCTGGGGGGTTTAGCAGCATGGGCATGTCCCTATGTATGTAGGGGTGTGGGGCTCCAGCCGGGGGGTCACCAGGGCCCCCCAAATCCCTAGGACCTCACGGGACACGCTGAACCCGAAGATGCTGCCATGTTCCTGCAGAAGTCTCTTGAGCAGGGTGCTCTTCCCAGCCCCAGAAGGTCCACTCAGGACAACAGGCCTTGGTCCTGACATCCCTATGGGCGAGTGGGAGCAGAGATCAGCAGGCTTGTGGGACTCCCGTAGGTGGGGTGGCTGCAGTTACACACTCCCTGAACTCTCACCAGGAATTGAACAGAGCTGAGGGCCATACCAAAGCTCAGCCACACCTCCCTGAGGTGTGGGCTCCCTGGCACCACAGACACATGGCCTCCCCAGCTGTGCACTCCCACCGCCCCAATGGTGGCTGCACTTCTGCTCCTGGGAGGGGCACATCTGGGTTCCCAACCCTGCATCTCCTGGCACCATGCTCCAGAGGTAGCTGAAGTCAAGGTCAGTGGAACCCAATCCCTGCTCTGGGAACTTTCATTAGAAAGTGAGGGACTGAGAGAGGGACCACAGCTTCCTGACCACATCCCTGTACTGCTGGGAAGCCAGCGGGAGGGCAGCTTCCCAGCCCAAGGAACAGGGCTCAGACATCTGCCACAGGTGAGAGCGGGTGAGGGAGGAGGGTTTGGGGAGTTATCAATCCAGCAAGCTCTGTGCCCACCTGACACCCCCAGCCCCCTCCCCAGGACAGGACCTACCTCCTGGGTAGGGTTCAGCCCCCTCAGTCAGCTGGGGCTATTCAGGATGAGCTGGGAGGTGTGTGTAATCCCAGCCTGCTCAGGCCTCTAAGCACTAAACTCCTCCCAGGGCAGTCAGTCCTGCCCACTTGGGGCTTTAGGGAAGAGAAGGCTGTCCCTGGCTCCTCAGGAGCAGCCTGCGTGCCCAGCCACCTTCATGATGGCAGGAGGGCCAGGTCCAGGTTCAGGCCTCCGAGGGACACCTCTGATGGGCGTGGGGGAGTTCAGGCAGCTCCCTATGCAGGCCTGGCTCCGTAGGCCACCTGGGGTCCCCCAGTAAAATGTGGAGGCCCCCAAGGTGCAGTTCAGTAGCCAGCACACTGGCAGTGAGGCCCAGGAGGGACAGGCTGCTTGATTTAGGGATGCCCTGCTGCCCATCTCCAACAGGGCCCCCAGAGGACACTGCTTTCCTAATCCCCAATGTAAGCTAACTGGGTAATCTCACTAAAGCACTGCTATTCTGGGCCTACCACACAACCCACGTGCTCCCTGTTAGAAGAAGCTGGGAAACACAGAGGAGGAGGGACCCACAGGAACCCATCGACACTCAAGTGTCATCTCTGAGTGACCAATTCTTAGCTCCTGGGACTCCTGTGAGTTTCCATTACAAAAATGCCTTGTTTCTATGTAGAGGTCATCCCAGTGGATTCCCAACTCCTCTTTGGCATCCCAGCTTTCCCACGCAAATACATGTGCCACACATACACCCCCATTCCACATGCATGTGCATGCACATGCACAAGGCTCTAAGCCCAAGGCAACTGCTCACTAGCAGAGCGCAACCCCGTCGCTCCCCAGAGGCCTGGACACAAGAGGTCCTGTCTCTCCGTCACTGGTACCCTTCACAAAGCCCCATCCTCTGCAGAAAGAATGTCCCAGGGGCAGTCCAGCCTACTCCTCTGGGTGTGTCCTCATTTCCTAGGCAATAGGTGACTGGGATACGCAGCAGCAGAAGGGACCCAGCAGGGCAGAGGAGAGACTGGGGGCCACCAGGTCCCAAGAAAGGCTGAGGAGGCTAGGGTCCAGTCCTGCCACTGCCTAGCCTCTGGTCAGTGCTAAGTCCCCACTTCTCGGGCCAGGCAGCTGTGGCCATGCACTGGCCTCTTTCTCCTGGACCCGATGGAGTGTTAGGCACCACAGGCACGTGAGTTCTTCCAGAGCAGGGGCGGCCCCAAGAAGACACATGGTATGATGGCCATACCGATGGCCCAGGAGGCCTGCCCAAGCCTTGATCATGGTGGCAAACTCTCAACCCAATAGATACTCAGGCCCAGCACCCATCTTGGGGTACCCACCTCCAGGGAGGGGAGTACCCAGAGGCTCCACTACTGGCTTGCCAGGGATATTGGGAGGTGCCCTCCAGGATGCTGGAAGCACCAAGAAGGGGAAAGGGCTCACCTGCCTGCTTGCACAGAAGCCCCTCAGGGATGCTCTGCTGACTGTCATGCACCTGCCATAAGCAGGCACCCTGCCCTCACACCCCCCACAGCCCTGTGGGTACCCCTCAGCCTCCAACTGTAACCTGCCCAGAAAGACCCAGTGCTCCTTTTCCAACATGCCTTCCCATCAGGCCCCACTTCCTTTCAGGCCACACCTCCTGGCCCTGAGCTCTGACACCTGGAGTGGGCGACCCTGCAAGGATCAGTTTTCAGTCAGGACCAAACACCACACACCAAGTCAGAGAGCTGACACCCTCATGGGGTGTGTGGCACAGGTCCTGTTTGTCACCTTACATCCAAATGCTGGTTTCTATCCTGGGCCCTCCACACTGTGCTGGGACTGGGGCAGGGAAGCCTGTCCCACCAAGCCACACTTCCAGCCTGAGGGGAGCTCCCACCCCAGGCCCACTACCTGCTGGCACTGGGCAGGGTTGGGGGGCAGGGGGTGAGCCTGCACAGGATTAGCTGGCAGCTGTAAAGCTCATGCCCTGCCAGGCTACAAATTATCGCCCTTCAGCTCCTCCACACAGGGTGTCCTTCTGATGAGCCTCCCCCATCAAACTCAAGCTCCATGCTCCCCAGTGCAGCCATCACCTGCCCCACTATGCACACTCACAACAGAGGTCCAGCCTGCTCGGCCTGGCTAAGGGTACGTGTGCCACTTCTTACCCTGTGCTGCCCAGGATTTACCCTCCAGCCCTGCCTGGAGGCTGGCTCCCAGAGCACAAGGACCACATGGGAATGGTCTGGCCCTGCAGAAGTGCCTAGGGAGTTGTGGAAGACAGGGCTCTGTCCAGTCACCACACAACAGAGCACTCACTGAAGCCACCTTCCACAGCATACCTGGCGTGAGCTGGCACTTTGGCCTTGAGCCCTCAACAATCAAGTAGTTGGAGACTGACTTTGGCCCTAGTGCCTGCAGGACCAACTGAGGGCATTCTGTGTTCTCCACTCCTTGACTATCCCGCAATCCTGAACCTTAGCAGCCTGGCAAGAAATGGGAAAGCTCACAGTACTGCAATAAAAACTCAAGATGCAAGCTCATGCATTCTAGAATGCTCTCCGCTGGAACCCTGCCCAAGGAGCACCCAATGCAGCCAGGCAGCCTTTTTGCAGAGCACGAGAAGGAGCCTGCTCTTTCCACTTTCATCCTGCACCACGCCATCTCCCTCCCACTCCTCCACAAGACACCTAAGATAAGGCGACTTCTGAGATCTGAGAACACGGAGAAGAAAGGTCAAGTCCTGCCAGCCATCTTGTAAGCCACAAGATGGGAAGAAATCTGGCTCAGGACAGCAGGCGATGCCCCACTCCTCCCAAACAGACCCTGTGGGGCAGGACTTGGTGACACATCCTGGCCAAGTAGTCTTGAAAACCCCACTTAGCCTTTGAGAAACTGGCTTGAACTGGCAGCCACAAAGCAGCCAGCCATTTCCTTCTTATTTCTCCTCACAATGGGGTGAGGACTATTCTTTCCATGAGAGCAGGCAGCCCCTCAAAAGCACGGGCAAGAGCCACACTGTGCAGGATCCCAGGCCTGTCTCGGTCCTGCATGGCATGTCTGGATCTCTTTCCATACAGGCGAAGGCCTGTAAGGAAAGGCCTGCACCAAATCCTAATTCTGCACCATGGGCAGAGGGCAGAGGAAGCACAAGAGGGGAAGGGTCCCTGGCAAGCAAGCTACGAAGCAGGAGGGACACAGGCCCTACAGAGAACCAGCCTCACCCTCACAAAGAGGAAACCAAGACCCGCAAATGCAAAGTCAACAGGAACCAGGGGAGACAAAACCAGGAAGACTAGGGCCAGCACATGCAGAATCAGCAGGGAGCTGGGGAGACTGAGGCTCGGCCCACAAAGGGTCACCAGGGACTTGGAACCGATTACAGAAGAGCCTGCCTCCATCCCAGTGCTCCCAGAGCCTCACTTGATCCACCCTCCAGGTGTGTTGGCGCCACCTCTTTCCATCCCCAACCACATCACCATATACCCCCTTCTGCTCCTCCTCAGATCAACTGAATGTGTTTTTCCAGCTATGCAGAATATGCCGCAAAAGACAGAACTTTACAGTTTAGGAGTTAAAAAAAAAAACCCACCAAAAAGCCCCCCACCCAATTTTGGAGTGGCAGAATAGAAAAGTAGCGAGTGTACCATTATAACTCCCAGAATCTTCTACTCAAGGAAATTGCTGATATCACCTTTCCCAGACAAAGATCAAGGTCCAGATCTAAACCCAGTATCTAAACAAAACCCAGGCACACTGTACCTGTCACAGGTGTGGCCCCAACCAGGGTATAAGTGAACTGGGTGTTGCAGGCAGTCCTGTGGCATTCTATGAGCAGGAATAGAGTGGGGATTCACCTGGCAGGAAATTAAGCTCCTTAGGGGCAATACAGGAAATCCCACCTGTCCCCGATCCCTCCTGGGAGGAGAAGAGGAGTTTTCCTGCATCCGTCGCAGCAAGTCACAGTCTGGTAGGTCTAAGAGTGATAGAAAACTCCAGAAAAGCCCACATTTGGACAGGCATGCTGCCTAGGAAACTCACAAGAGGCTGATCAGGAAAGGCAAGTCTTGGTTCCCCTCTTCCTGTCCTTGTGGGCCCCACCCCACACTGGCTGGCTGGCACTGCTGCTTACAGTGCTTCTCTTCCCCAGTGAAAGACAACAGTGCCAGGTGAGGTGCAACGCCTCACTGCTCCTCCCAAACCAGCCCCTGGATGGACTAGGCTCGTTCCCTCTCGGTTCCCAAAATAATGTCTAAGAATAGGAGAAGGGCGGACCTATTAACCCAGACTTGAGGGCTCTGGGCCCGAGGGAAGCTGAACATCCAATCACCACACCCTCAAGTCAGGAGAGCCTGTCCCAAGCATTTGCTTCAGGGCCCGGCAGGGGCAGTCCCGTCGTCCTGGGCCCACAAGCGGGGACCGGCTGTGGGGACTCCCGGTCGGGAGGCCATCGCGGCCTTCGGCACACAGGGTTTTCACCTCTGCGGCACAGCCCACCTCGGGGAGGGGGTCAGGCTGCTTCCCCTCCGCTTCCAGCGCGAGTCCTCAGGCTGCAGGGGTTTTACAAGCTGGCGCTTTCCGTGCCAGAATTCCCAGCTACGTTTTGAGAACTGACACAGAGAATCCAACTTTTAATGTGCCCGAGTAAGAAAAACGGCCACCGAGAGCCACTTCAACATCCACAGACAAGAACAGAGAGGACACAACCTCAGAACGAGGGCGACCCTGTAAGTGGAGTCAATGCACCTCCATGAAGAGCCACATTAACCAGTCTTCACGTTCCTCGCTCTGCTTGCTGGGCCTCTGTGACAAGCCAGCCTTGGAAACCCCTGAGGCTTTCGGGGTCGGCCCCACGAGAACTCCACGAGAGCGGCATTCCGGGCGCACAGGGAGAGCTGAACCCGAACGCCTCGGTCGCGTACGGCCGCGGCGGGGCCCAGGAAGGCCCTCGGGAGCCTGTGCGCCCAGATGACACTCACCGTCCGACGGGGCGCGGCCCAGGGCGGCCGCCGCCAGCCCCGCCAGTGGGCGCCGCAGCATAAAAGGCCACACACAGACTCCCGGAGAGGTACGCCGCAGCGTTGCACAGCCCACTTCCGCCCGCAGGGCTGACGTAAGCACCGTCCCTGTCCGGCACCGCCCCTGACGGCTTGCGTAAGCGCCGCGCGACGGAGCGCTCGTAAAGGACCTGCGGCCTCGCCGGCAGGGGCGGCCACGTGAGGACAACGCACTGCATCGCCACTCCCAAGCGGCCTGGCCCGTGGCTGTCTCGAGCTCAGTGAGCGTGGCAGGTTGGAGTCTCGTTGTGCGGGCCGGGGCTGCTTCCCCAAGGGAGGGAGGGTTCTGGCTCCGCGGGCACCCGCGCGGATCCTTACGGCGTTTCCCTCTGCGGCCGGGTGGCCTCCTAAGGCGGAGGGAGTCCTGCAGATGCCCAGCCCCGACAGGTAGGGAACAGCGAGGCAAACCCGCCTCTATCGGCCCGGAGGGCTAGTTTCTGTTTCTGGGGGGTTGGAATGCCGACACCTCAGGCATTTGGCTTTGAAACACGGTTTGTCGTAGCACAGTCACAGACACTTCCCTGCGAGTCCGGGCTTACTAAGACTGATCCTGGGCTTCAGCTGCCTCCACGTGCCACAGAGACCCTTACCTCGCTGGACTCTGTGAGACTAAATGATCGTGGCCAGCATGGTGTGAAGCAGCCTCCGTTCATGTTGCCCTCCGCGCTCAGAGCAGCTTCCTGTAACTCATCCAAACGGGCCTAGATCCTGCCCATACTGATGGAGTCAGGATCTTTGAGAGTAGGACCTGGGCATCTGCTGTTCACAGACTTTCGACAGGTGGTTCTGATGCCAGGTCTGGGCTGAGAGCTTGACAGCTTACTGGGAGAGACTGCTATTGACCTAGGAATAACATGCCTGCTTGGAGACATGACTGGTTCTGTGGCTTTCTTCCTGGCTAGGACTTGGCAAGGACCAGTTATGTGGTAAAGCCTGCCTGTTAAAAAGACTTTTCTTGCTCAGCAGGTGACACACCAGGCCAGTAACTGACCCTCGACCTGCACATATTACAGTGTCGCTCAGGAGGAATGGCTGTTGCAGGCAGTATGCTTGGGTAAGCACAAGTTTCCCAACTTGGGGTTGTGGTCACAGGGCCACCCAAAGGAAGGTCAACTCTGGAGCCTCAGGCTATGCTCTTAGGGATGCCTCCCCAGCCAGTGTGTTTATCTGAATAATACACACAAGAACACACACACAGAGGCTTTGACACAATATTGAGGGGAAATAGGAGCAACGTTTACTACTTAGCACCAAACAAGTAGTGATGGGAGTCGCTCCCTATTCAGAGCCTGCAGCCTAGCCCTAGAGAATGCCATGGCCTTCCTGCTGTTCCACTGGAACTGCCTATCTGCCTGTTCTGTTTGCCCCATTGCTTCCCCCAAATGGGAAGCACAGTGTGGTTAGTGTTGCCAGAGGAGGAAACAAGGGCAGGTGTCTTGTTCCTGTGGAATGTGGGGAGACAGAGGTGGCACTTGAAGTCTGAGTCAGTGTGAACACCAGAAAGGGACTCTGGCTGCAGCATTCCCTGGAGGACCCTCATCCTGGGAGAGGTTCATGTGGGAACTGATGCTGTTCTCAGTGGGAGAGTATCCATATTCTCTTCAAGGGTTTGCTCCATCCCCATCCAGAAGCTTCTCAACCCACTGATCTCAGGTTCTCACAAGTGGCTGTGCCCCAGGCTCCTGATGCTGACCGCAGCTCTCTGGTGCTGGAGCTGCCCACCATCTTTCTCCTGTCCTTCACTTCTCAAGGCAGGGACTGGCTCAGCTAGTGGTCTGGGAACAGTAAATAAGCTGTGGTTCTTGTGACCAGGCCATCAGAGCCTAGCAGAGGAGATGGGCCCACAGCCCTGGATGTCAGCTTTGAAGTGCATGGGGTGGGTCTGAATCAAAAGTTGCATGAGCGCCAGGCCGGAGGGAATTTGGGGGTCACAAGGCAAGGCCCCAAGTGGATGAGAGAGGGGAGGGGCAGAGCAGGGACTTGCAGTTTCCTGTCACCTTGGAGCACGTGCTCTGCCCTGTGTAGGAGGTCTTGAGTGTCTGCCATGTCTGGAACTGAGTGAGCTCCCCAGGTCATGTGTGCTCAGATTGCCCCAACAGAATGCCAGACTGGGTACCTTGTTCCTTGCGATCCTGGAGACGTTCCTCTTCCTGGTTCATAGATGGCCACCTTCTCCACGTCCTCAAAGGGCAGAGAGCGAGCAAGTTCCCATCTCTTCTTATAAGGGACCATTCCCAGTGCAGGTGCCCCACCTTCATGATCTCATGTAACCCTGATCACTTCCCATAGGCCCTGCTCTTAATGCCATTTTTATTGGGGGTTAGTGCTTCAACATGTGAATTTGGGGACATAAACATTCAGTGCACAGCACCAGGTCTATGTTCCTCTTAAGAGGCCGCTTCCTGATCTAGGCCTCATGTTCAGGATTCCAGACTCCTAGAGTGCTATCCTAAGCCAACTGTCCTTAGCAGTCTGGAAGCTTCATATTCTCACCTCCCTCGGCCTCTTCCCATACGTGGCGTACCAGACCTCAGCCAGAGCTAGGGGGTTGCTGTGGGCACCCACCGGAGCTGGCTGATCTGATCTTGGTGGGCACTTTGGTCTTGGCACCTGCGGCTGACTAGCATGTGTATCTGCAGATTGCTGCGACAGCAGGTGGTGATGGGGGCTGCTCCTGTGGGCCGCTGCCTGCACATGTCCTCCCATCAGGCTGACAGCAGCAGAGCCTCACTCACTCGTGTGCACAGACAGGCCTATGCACGTCTCTATTGTGTGCTCTTGGTCAAGCAGGATGGCTCCACCATCCACATCCGCTACCGGGAGCCCAGACGAATGCTGGTGGTAAGCTCCCCTCTCTGGAGTGCGGGTCTGGGCTAGGCAGGGAGGGGAGAGTGGGCAAGGCATGGAACTCCACGCACCCAAAATCAGATAGCAGCAGTGGGCTGTGTAGAAACAAACAAAACATCCTGGGTAAACAAGAAATTTCTATTAAAAGGTAGAGGTGGAGGTCAGAAGGACATCGTTGTGCCTTTTGCTAACCAAGTGCACACCCTCCCTCCATAGATGCCCATGGACTTGGATGCCCTGTCCCCAGAGGAGAGACGGTCACGGTTCCGCAAACGTGAGGCCCAGCTCCGAGGGAAGGAGAAGGAGCCAGAGCTCCTTGATGACTTTGACTTGGAGCGGTACAAGCAGTTTTGGATCAAAAAGTGACCATGCCCACAAGCTGTCCTGGCTCAGGATGCTGTAGATGGGCATTCATCTTTAAATTGAGCATTAAGATTGTAAATCCCCCTTGTCTTTCTTTGTCAAACATGTGCTGGAGGGGTCTGAGACTGAGCCCACTGGAGGGCTTAGAGTTGGGTCAAGCTGTGGTTTTAGGAGGAGGCTCAGAGGGCACATGAACTGTCACTGCAGGAGGTGCCTGTTGCTGCACAGCCACTCTGGGCTCGAGCCCCCACTGCCAACATAAAGCATGGGGAGTAGGTGGGATCCAAGGACACTGGCACCCAGCCTGAAGCTGGCCTACTTTGCCCCTCTCTGGGAATCCCCCAGCCCTGCCCATAGGCAGTGAGGAGGTGCTTCCTGACATGGAACAAGGGGAGCAGCCCCATTGCTAACTGTTCAGGTCTTAGCTATGTGCTACAATGGGCTGCCACCTTCTGGCCAAGGGGTAGATTTCACATAGACAGGATGGGCATTCTGCAAGACCTGAGGGAGCAATCACCAACCTTTACACAAGCAGCTGACCCGGCTCAAGCCTGGGCTGCATCTTGTTGTGGGCTGTGGATTGACCCTGGGACCCTGTCAGGATCTTTCTCATAAACCTGAGGGGGCCTGTAGAACATTGCCATACACACAGGTTGTGTGGAGGGTATTCCAGGCACCACTAGGGAGGCAGAAACCGGTAGGACATGACACTCCCTCTGATGGCAACTCACAGGGAGGGATGCTGGGCTAAGCACCCACCTTGGACTCCTAGTTTGTAGTCCTCCTTGGTCTGCTGAGCACACAGCTGGCCATGTGCAGCTACTTTGGCATCTGTCCTCCAGGGTCTACCAGCCTGCTGGCCTTACTCAGGGACATTCCCACTTGGGCAGCGTCCTTGGATTCCTCATCCCACCAGCTGCTGCTGCCCCAGTTCACTGCTTACCACTCATCTCCAGGAACACTGCACAGCAGTGTCTATACTCATTGTTCAGGGCCAAGTTACTCATGACACCTGTTGAAGACAGCAAGGTAGACCTTACTCAAGGTAGGATTGTGGAGGTGGATGTACTGAGGTAGAGGCTGAGTATTGCATGGAAAAGTGGGGTTTTGAGCCAGGAGCAGGGTGGAGTCAGTGATGGGAAATAGTACTAGGGAGAGGAGGTACCTGGCTAAATCCACCTAATGTGATTGCTTCTAAAGGTAGGCAGGCAGGCAATCAAACTTCTTTTGGGCACGAGGAGCCCAACTAGATATGGAGGATGGGTTTTTGTGTGGGGTTTTTTGTTTTTTTTTTTGGTGGTTTTGTTTTTTGCTAGAACTGATGGCAGAGATGGACATAGAGGCCCAAGGTCTAGTTGGAACAGCCTAAGAGTGGTCAAGCAGAGTCCTATCTGCATTTCATAAAGGTGGGGGCTCTTATTGCCCCCTCCCATGCTTCTGTACCCCCTTCTTCCCAGTCACCTCACACTAAAATGCTATTAACACTGATTACACCCCAGTGTCCAGACTATAGTTGGGCCTCCCTATAGTTGGGTCCAACTATAGTCTGGACACTGGGGGAACAGGCTGAGCTGACCCTGCTGCTCCCCAGTGCTTCCTTCATGCCCCCCTGGACCCATGCATGCATCCTACCATGACATGCTTCCCTCTACCAAAGCTGTGATCCTGCAGAGAAGTGCACCTGTGGCTTTGGACTTGTACACATGCTGAAGGCCCCTGAGCAGGTGCAGGAGCAGACCTGAAGCTCCCATGTGTGGGAACCGAGGCTCAAACCCTGTTGACTCCCACTGTGGAAGCCCCCAAAAGGGCTAGTGAGGGGGTCAGCAGAGGCAAGTCAGGAGAGCAGGCAGAGGCCTCTTCATTGCCCTCCCCACTGAGTACCTACAGGCCACTTAAGTGGACACCCTGTTGCAAGTCCTAGATCTGCAAATCACCCTACGGAGTGGATCCTTCATTGGACCCGTCACCG